CCCCCCCCCCCCCCCCCCCCCAAAAAAAAAAACACCCGATACACGGACTAGTGTACAGGCGCCGACGACCCCACATCACTGAAGAATTGCTCAATTACGTGATTGACGAATTTCTCCATTCAAAAGCAACCGCCATCGAATTGAATCGCGGGAATCTCCTCTCCGAATCTGCAAGGGCGACGTTGTGTGTGGTGCCCCGTAAAGTCTGCATTTAACACTACTGTAGCGTAAAGTCTAGGTTCTACTGCCGACGGGTTCCCTTGGTTCCTGAAAAGACGTGGTGCGACATTCGGGGTCGGGTACAGCGACATAGGTACAGAGTGTCCAGTGTACCTGACGGTAACCCCCGCGGGACGGAAAACAAATGAATCCAAAGCTTCCATTCGTGGGCAGAACACCAACCAGCAAGAGACGAAGAGTGGAATCTCGCAGATACTTGAGCATTTGATTACAATGACCCCCAAAGTGCGAGAAGATATCAAGAAAGGGGACAAGTTGGGTTTTTTTTTTTTTTTTTTTTTTTTTTTTTTTTTTTTTTTGGAAGATATTGCTTGCCAGTGCTCCAGCTGTCGAGCCAGACACCCTTGAGGCTTTTCAACCTACCCTTGCACTCTTTAAACATCTCGGTGCATGTGGTAGAACTCGAGAGTATGCACAGCCAAGTTCTGTGAGCAGTTGCCAACGAATGATTAAACAACTATCGAGGTAAAAAGAACCGTCCTGGAACACACTAAAAGCTCATACATGTAAGGTGTGATACCTTCACCAAACACACGGACATCAAGCCACTATATGTACGATGAAAAACGTTAGTGTTATTGGTGTTGTTTTGTGTATCCGTCTAGATACGATGTTACCCATTTGAATGCGCCAAAATACTAGGGACATCACAATAGCCTTAGACCAAAGGCAGACTAAAAAAAGATATCACCAATGCGGAGACAAAGGTCTTACGAGTCCATGACCTGCATTTTCATCGTGAGGGATGTGATGTATTTTATATCAATGAACGCCGACCAGCTAGTACCTCTAGACGAGCAGATAGTAAACAATAGGGTATTAAATGTTGTGATCCCCCAAATGTCCATCTCTAAAGTAGTGCTACTCTGGTATAGCAGGAGTCTAGATGCTCTCTACGAGACCGCAAGACCGCTCCCCCCCTTCCCCCGCCCCCGGGGCTCAGCAACTCAATTGCTTGTAAGCTTGTCAACATTATTATCCTTTCACCCTCATCAGCCCTGCCGCATCATCCTTTTGCTTATTGCGGTGCCTATTCCTATTCCTGCCGAGTCATCTGACCATGTTCAGTAACCACCGTTGGCATTAATGCCGACTTCCCCTGACTCTGGGGTCTCCCAATAATCTGGGCAGCCGAGCTAGCCAAGCCCAACCCTTGAATGTCCGTAGTACCACCCGCGGTCGAGGCCAAAGACGACGACCTAGGCGACTTTGGCCTGCCGAGGGCTCCCTTCCCGACGATTTTCTCGGTCCAGTTCCAATTCAGCGTGCTCGATCTTTTGAACCCAGGCTTTGTCGAGTCACCACTACCACCGCCCGAGTCAGCCGCCGCCGCACGGTCGGAGAAGGAGTTTGTTGTTGTTGACGTAACTGCTGCCGCCCCTTTTCCTTTCTTGTCCGCCGGCGATAGACCGCCCATAAAAACAGAATCCTTCTTGTTTTCCCGCTGACCGCCGCTCTCGCTTCCAGTGTCGCTCTCGTCGCCACTTTCGATCCAGTCTCGATCGCTCCACGTCACAGAGTCCATTCGGCGTACGAATTTTGGCTGCTCGGTGGCACTCAGAGATCCTGAGGGCGAGGACGCTGATTGTGATGACAGAAAGCCCTTGGTTCTATCACTAGAGCTCACAACAGTAGAGCTTCTAGGCAAGCCGAAAACGACGTCTTCAGCCTCTCTGGCATCCCTTTCGCTTTGAGTTGAGCCTCCCCTACTATGCGTCCGTGTCTCCGAGCTGATATCGGTATCCTTAACTTCAGAGCCATGCTCATCGGGCGGTACATACAGGGGCTTGGCGCGCTCTTTGTTTGTGGCCTTGTCGTCAGACGTTTTGGCGGTTGCCGAATCGCTAAAGTGTGCCTCCACGAGATGCTGAATAACTGGCCATCCGAATGCGTTGGCGAACTGGCGACGCACGATGATGTTGTTGTGCGCATCAGGCTCCAGCTTGACGAGCACTTTGCGCCATGAGAGACCCCTATGGTAGGCTCTGGCGATCTTCTCCTCAACTTGCATTTGGGAACCGTCGACTATCTCAGACGGGTCCATATCGGGGTTGGTATGTTCTGTGTCATCGTAGTCATACCGTGATAATGACGAGTCCCGGGGAAAGATTCCTGGTGACGGAGCATAGGGGGACGACGCCTCGCTACCTGGGGTTTTAACCTGGGGAGCTTGAGTCGCGGAGCTGCTTGAAGATTCAGTGCTTGCCGTAGCTCTTCGTCGGAAGCCGCTGGTAGTGGGTCGTTTCTTTAGTGGTGGGGGCGGAATATCTGAAGGATGGTATATCCTATCATGAAAGATGGCGCGAGGTCGTTTGGACGGATCGATGAGATACTCAACTGAAGGTAATTTCGGGTTGA